TGTGGGTATGGTGGTGTTCTGGTGATGTGCAGTGTTATTTTTGCACCAAACATATCTTTTGGAATTATGGCCAAAAAGTTCAACCTTGGTTTCATCAGACCACAACACATATTCCCACATGCTTTTGGGAGACTTCTGATGTGTTCTTGCAAAATGTAGCCGGGCTTGGATGTTTTTCTTTGTAAGAAAAGGCTTCCGTCTTGCCACTCTACCCCACAGCCCAGATATATGAAGAATATGGGAGATTGCTGTCACATGTACCACACAGCCAGTACTTGCCAGATATTCCTGCAGCTCCTTTAATGTTGCTGTAGGCATCTTGGCAGCCTTCCAGACCAGTTTCCTTCTCGTCTTTTCATCAATTTTGGAGGGACGTCCAGTTCTTGGTAATGTCACTGTTGCGGTGTTTTCTCCCCTTGATGATGACGGTCTTCACTATGTTCCATGGTATATCTAATGCCTTAGAAATTCTTTTGTACCTTACTTCTGACTGATTCTTTTTAACAAAGAGATCCCTCTGATGTTTTGGAAGCTCTCTGCGGACCATGGCTTTTGCTGTAGGATGTGACTAAGAAAATGTCAGGAAAGACTTACTAGAACAGCTGAACTTTATTTGGGTTTAATCAAAGGCACTTTAAATGATGGCAGGTGTGTACTGATTCCTACTTGACATGATTTTGCATGTGATTGCTTAACCTCCTTGGCGGTATTCCCGAGTGTAGCTCGGGGTAACATTTCAGTACCAAGAGCGGTAACCCCGAGCTACACTCGGGAATACCATGCGGCACTGCTCCGGCATTTGTTCTTCACTTATCTTACCCTGCGCTCCCAGGATGTGTCCCCTGCAGCGTCCCCGGCCATCTCCTTCGGCCGATGCCGGCATCCGGCTTCTGTGTCCTGTCCCTGTGACGTCGGGACGTACGGGCGCCGCCGGCGGCGGGAAATTTAAAAATTTTAAATGTCATTTTTTTTTTTTTTACATAGTAAAACATTGCGGCCCTCAACCAATTTCACATACATTTTGTCCCTAGTGCTTTGTCCTGCTCCCTGCCTGCATTTTGTCTGTTCTTTCTGCCTGGAAACTTGAGAAAAGTCCATGGCGTCCAAAAAGTGTCCCTTTAGGTCAAAAGCGGTTTAGATCAGCTAGAGAACAGCGATAGTAAATCAGAACCACTTGCAGAATTGAGTGATAATGATTTGTGGGGAAATTCGTCATCAGCCACTGAAAACAATTCTGCGCGACTTTGCTCAGCGATGTGCGAACTTGGCGCTATATTTCAAATTTCAGTGTTTTTGGTTTGATTATATTATTGAATTAAATGTATTATTATATTATTATTTTTTATGATTACTTATTAAATTATAATTTATGATTTTGTGTTTAAAATTTTATCATCCCCGGGATGTTTAATAGACTCTTGTTCAGACAGATTTCAGTGAGTTATTCCTAAATATTACAGCCTACAATAAAAAAAATTACATATTTCCATGCAAAATAATGGTACCCCGCTTTTCAGCACCAAAAATCGGAAATAATCATACCGCCAGGGAGGTTAATTCTGAACACAGCTACATCTCCAGGTATAAATATGGTTGCATAAGTGTGCACACCCTCTAATTTCAGATTTTTTCAATTGAGTTGTACAGTTTATAGGTCACCTTAAGGTAGAAAAAGTTCAGAAATGATTTGTCTTTGTCTCATTTTCTTACATCACAGAAACCTGACATTTTAACAGGATGGACTTTGTATATCCACTGTGTGTGTATTCTCTCTCTCTCCCATGAAACATACACATCATTTACTAATAGAAAAGTTTCTCCCTATGTGTTGCTGCTGCATTCTACTATTGCTGTATGGTTCAGTTCTGAAGCTCACGTGCCCATTGTAGGTACTTTTGGATGTGGACACGTTTCAGCATGAGTACCCTGGCAGCCTTATGTGCATCACTATATGATGCACTGTGGGAGGGATTTACTAAAACTGGTGCAACTGTGCATGGTAAACAATCAGCTTCTAGCTTCAGTTTGTTCAGTTAAGTTTTGGCAACACAACCTGGAAGCTGATTGGGTTGTATGCAGAGTTACACCAGGTTTTGCACTCTTCCGTTTTAATAAATAACCCCTTGTGTGTTCTGACATCTTTCTATTAGAACCAGCATAAACGGTTTCAGCAATTTGAGCTTCAGTATCTCTTCTATTAGATTGGACTACATCGGCCAGCCTTTGCTCCCTTCATGCATCAGGGAGAAATGGCCACCCATCACCATGTCACCAGTTCTCTGTCCTCCTTTTATTACCAGCCTTCTTTTTGGTTGGCTGACACTCAGCATTATTCAACCTACTTCCTGTGGGCCTGGGGTGTCATAGACACCCCCCCCAAGCCGAATGCTGCAAAGGACTGCATCTATGTCATTACTTGAGCTTCATTCTTTAAAGAAGAGGAGAGGAACACCCACCTCTATTGCTAGAAGGGACCCTTTTGTACGAGTTGGAGGAAGTCCAGCAGCGTGGGAGGTTTTTGTATGCTGGAGGCCCTAAAGTTATACTGGGCACCAAACAGGAATTTTTTTTTTGTTCAACCCAGTGAAATGAATTAAAAACAGATTACTGTACTAAAGCATCCAATGTTAGTGCAGCAATCCCCCCCACTGCGCTATTGTGTTCTGACAGGGGGACTGCACCCCCACCAGGACACACTGATCAGCTGCTGGTTTTCCAGCATGCTCGTTCGACAAAAGATGGTTATGAGACAGGCTTCTGTTGGATGAGGAACTGTACACACAGGCCAAAAGTCGGCCAGTTCCTGCCGACCCGACCACTTTCGGCTGATTTTTGGTCCATATGTACACTGCTTTAGGCTTTAAGTTTCAAGATCACAGCAATATTTTCTTTACAATGTGTTCACAGATTTATTTTGTCCAGTTTGACAAACAAAATTTACATCAATATATAAAAACAACTGGAGACGTCCTATAGAACATCCAGCAAAGTATAAAACAATTGTAAATCAGATGATAGGAATCCAATAATAGGCAGTGTGGAGACACCGAATGTCTATGTATGTTGCTTATTGGCAATCTAGTTATGTATGTGCCCTGTACATTACAAGGAACAAAGGTTAACATACTTCAAAGAATGCCATGCAAAACCTTTTTCATTTTGGGGTGGAGTGGACAGAGTTTGATTTTATGCTGTGTCTTTGTAACTCTTGGTGACCTTACAGATCTGTTCCCATATTCGAGCCTCAAACTGTACCTGCTGTTCTTCTTACCACCTTTACACCAGCTGTACAAACACATACAGTATATACACTGCTCAAATAAATTAAAGGAAAACTTTGAAAACACATTAGATCTCAATGGAGAAAATCTCCTGCTGGATATCTGTACTGACATGGACTGGGTAATATAGGAGGAATGTAAGGATGCCCCATCGTCTGATGGAAATGAAAATTATCAACCTACAGAGAACTGAATTCAGACACCCTGAAAATCAAAGTAAAAAAAATCATGCAGCAGACTAGTCCATTTTGTGAAAATTTCATTGCAGCAACTCAAAGTGGTCCTCAGTAGTTTGTATGGTAGAACAAAGGTGGGTCTAACTCCATGTTTCCACATATTGTTGCCATTTTGTGTGCCACCAATACTGGGACTACGGTGGCACCAACAGCTTCTAGTCACAGAGTTACAATTTGGAGCTAGTAGGATGGGCTACTGACTTTGTGATGATGGTAACAGGCACTCTCAATGATCATTTGATCGGGCAGCCCATGAAACTCCTCTCTGGTTCAGGTGTTAAAATTTCTTTGATGGCTGGCAGGAAGGGGTTAAAGAGGATCACATATGAATATTCAAACTTTAATATAATTGACAAGTATAGAAATGAGATATTTGGTCCTTATTTATCTTCATGTACTGTAAGGAAGACTCTAGGCCCTGAGTGTTTAGAGGTGAGAGGTCACCTGAAGCCTGATAGCTGCTGCTCTGCCAACAATCAACATAAACTGTCTCCTAATCTGCACAACAATATCACATAATAGAGCCCTGTAAAAGCAATCTAAACAACTACAGGGATCTGTATTTTATATTTGTATTCATGTGAAGAAAGCCTCTACCATCATCCTGATCATAGCCCGTTGACAGGACAGCAACTATCAAACCTCAGGGGGCCTTTCACCTCTGTCTCCAAGCTACAAGAGTCATCTGTTACATTCAATACTTTGGGGTTTATTTACTAAAACTGGAGAGTCCAAAATCAGACTCCCTTCTGCATAGAAACCAATCAGCTTCTAACCTCAGCTTGTTCAATGAAGCTTTGGCAATGAAACCTGGAAGCTGATTGGTTTCTATGCAGAAGGGAGTCTGATTTTGGACTCTCCAGCTTTAGTAAATAAACCCCTTTGTGTCAATGACCATGGACAGCAATGGGGCAAGTGAACCTCCCCTGAACTCCCCATTTGGGTCAACCAGAAAGAACTGAAGTCATTTGATTAGCATGACAGCCAGGCAACCAACATCTTCCAAGTGAGGTCAGCTGATGTATTTCTCTCTGCACAGGTTTCTTCGAAGTATGCTTGTCCTAATTAAGTGTCACACACCCTTCATTGGATTATAGGAAGAAATATATAGAGAATTCCCTTATGTATATGACACAGGAAGCTTAGCTAGCAGCAAAGCCCAAGCCATCTCAGTCATTAGGAGAGTTGTAAAGACTTGGCCACCCATCACCCTTTGTCCATTCCACCCAGAAAAGAATAGAACACCTTTTTGGTTGGAGTTCCACTTCAGAAGTTAAGATACTACACTATGACAAAACAAAAGAAAATCACTAATAATTTAAAAATAACACTTTAGTTCAAAAGAACATTATTTCTATTGTCTTCTTCAAACATTATTTCTATTGTCTTCTTGTAACATCTTATCTCTCAGTAAGTGCAAAAAAGGCCAAAATTGTTCATATTGGTTTTCACATTCTCTGCACCCCAGTGTGCTGAAAGAACTTTAGTCCTCTTTGGTAGTGCGGAACTCTGGCATGCTCCACACACGTCTGGTGGGCTCTAACTCCCGTTCAACGTCCTCAGAAATGGTCTTAATGTCACTGGCAAAAGGATAGATCCTGGCTCGAGACTTGAAGGTGGTGAGAGACAAGCTCATGGCTCGCTTGGTGTTCCACTGCCTGGCCAGTTTCTTTGCATCTTCCTCCTCTTTCATCTTCTCACTCGCTTCTTGCAAGACTGATCGGAAGAGACGAGGGACTTCCTGGACATCAGGCTCATACTCTGCTACCAGTTGACGAAACCTGGACAAGAGAAGGAAGATCATGAATGGTTCAGTTCACTCAAAAGTAATATTTCATTTATTTGTATTCAACAGGTATGAATAGCCTGCAATTTCTGCATATTCTGCAATTCCACCCCAAGCTGATATTTGATTAAAGTACCATGGACATGACACCAAATCATCTAGTGTAAAATTCCTGGTGCTTTTTAGCATCTGGAGAGCCACAGGTGGCATGTACAGCCACCCATACAAGTGAATGGCTCTATGTGGCCATACATATGTAAACACTGATGGCTTGTGCATCGGTGTTTAACTGCGCATAAGCCATTTTTGTGTTTGGGTAACAATGCGGTAAGTGCATGTGTGGGTAAACCATGATGCACAAGACATCCACATTTACATGAGTGCAGCAGTGTACAGCACTAGGTGGATCCCTTTTTGAACGTGTGTGCACACGAAACGCATCAGAGAAGAGCCTATGTGCTTATGTCACGCCGCCACATCCATGTGATGGTCCCGCAGCTATCTTTGTAAGTGCTTTTTATCCATTGATGATTTTATGCTCCATGTGGTTGCTATCTTTTTAATAAAACATACTACACTATATGACACTGTCTCCGGCAGGGCTTGAAATTTCCACTCACCTGCTCGCCAATGGCAAGTGGAAATTATGGTGGGGGTTAATGTGTCCCCCAGGGCCGTCTTGCTGAGCAGGCTCAGAGCTTAGGCCGGATCTGTCATTGGCATTGGGAGCTGTCAGACTGCTCAATAGCTGAGCGCAGTGAAAGCAAAGCAAAGCAAGGAGTGTGTGCTGAGCTCTCTGCCTCCACCTAGAGTGCAGTACCCGGATCTGTGAGTGAACAATGAAGTACTGCAACTTTTTATGGGGGTGTGTGTACGCGTACATGTTTGTGTGTGTGTGTGTGTGTCTGTGTATGCATGTACAATTGTACATGTGTCTGTGTGTATGTACATGTGTGTATCTGTACATGTGTCTGCATGTATGTACATGTATGTGTGTGTGTACGTGTGTCTGTGTGTACATGTGTCTGTGCATGTGTATTTCTGTGCATGTACATGTGTCTGTATATGCCTGTGTGTGTATACATGTGTCTGTGTGTGTACATGTGCCTCTGTGCATGTGTGTACATGTCTGTGTGTGCGTACAGGTGTCTCTGTGTGTGTTTGTTGGCGGCGAGTAACTCTAAGGCCTGGTTAGTAGCTCAGGACTTGAAATTTTAAGCCCTGGTTTCCGGGTTCGGTCTATGAGCTTGCCCTGTAGGCGGAATCCCTTTCCTTGGTTTACCATTAGCTGGAGATGGAGACTTGGCTACTCTACTTTTGATTGTTCATTTGGTGTATCACTGGCTTCTGGAGAGATCCCACCTTCAACCAGGTCACCGGCAGGAGGAACAAGCAGGAACACCCCTTAGTGTCATTCCGCTCTGGGTTTGCTTGCTACTTACTTCTGGTGAGTGCATTATGATGGAGGTGCAGTGCGGACGTCACAGAAGTCACTACATTTTGTTGATTTGATCACACCACTATTTTTGGGACTATTATGATATTTAGAGGACTTATTTATTTTCATTTATTTGTTATACCGTCCATTTTGATTCTTCTTTGGAGTATTCACAATTCCCTATTTCTTGTTTTATGATGTTTCCTTTCTTTTTTACAATCACACTGGTCATCATTGATTATAACACATGTTTATTAGCGCTGCACATTGATATTATAGTATAAGCCGCTATATACTTTGTGGAACGCGGATGGCATGGCTCTGATGATCCCTCATCAAAATAAGGTGCAGGCATATGTGCCAATCCAATGCAGTATAACAGAGCCTAGGTAAATGCCGCACACCAGACAGCTCTGTGTGCTTGAGTGCTAGAAAGGGCAAAACGCGTCAGTGGGTGTAGTCTGATGCAAGGTAACAATGTTGATCACTGGCAGGATCACCATGTATTTAAACCATTACAGAAGTATGTTTTAAAAAGCTGTATAAGGTCATGTTTAGGATTTGCTATAGTTCTAATTTAAACAAACTTTACGTGCTTGTTCACATGATGTGTGACGTAGGAACATGCATGTCCTAATTCTTAATGGCACTGCATGCATCTGGGTACCACACACGTTTCACGCCTGCCAAAACACATGGTAACACAGTACCGTGCAATTTGGTGCAGACTGATTTTAAAAATTGTGCCTGCACTATTTATGCATGTTTCACATGCTTAGGGCAGCCCTTTTATTTTAATGGGCTCCTTTGCACACAGATGCAAAGGAACACACAAAAAACACAGGCCCTCTGATGCATCTTATGGTGTGAACAAGACTTTAAGGTTTGGGGGTGCTTTACAAACAAATTAACCACTTGAGCTCAGGAGGATTTACCCCCCTAATGACCAGGCCTCTTTTTGCTACTCGGCGCTGCACTAATTCAACTGATAATTGCGCGGTCATGCAATGCTGCACCCAAACAAAATTTACGTCCTTTTTTTCACACAAATAGAGCTTTCTTTCGGTGGTATTTGATCATCTGTGCGCTTTTTATTTTTCACGCTATAAACAAAAAAAGGCCAAAAATTTTGAAGAAAATATTTTTTACTTTCAGCTATAAAAAAATATATAGTAAACTCAAAGTTGGTTATAAATTTAGGCCAAAATGTATTCTGCTACATGTTTTTGGTAAAAAAAATCCCATTGAGTGTATATTGATTGCTTTGTGTGGAAGTTATAGCATCTACAAACTATGGTATAGATACTGCAACTTACGCCATTTTTCTGCTATACAGCGCTGCGCTAGTTTAACGGACAAATGCGCAGTCATGCAATACGGTACATAAATGAAATTTACATCCTTTTTTTCCCCACAAATTGAGCTTTCTTTTGGTGGTATTTGATCGCCTGTGCGGTTTTTATTTTTTGCGCTATAAAAAAAAAAGGCTGACAATTTTGAGGAAAAAAAAAAACAATATTTTGGACTTTTTGCTATAAAATATGTCCAGTAAAAAAAAAAAATGCAAAAATCAAATTTAGTCATAACTTTCTGCCAAAATGCATTCTGCGACATGTCTTTGCTAAAAAAAAAACCCAATACGTGTAAATTAATTGGTTTACGTGAAAGTTATAGCGTTTACAAATGGCAGGAAAGGTACTGGGATTTTTAGGTTTTTTTTTATACTAATAATGGCGGCGATCAGCGAATTATGGCGGCGATCAGGGACTTATGGCAGCGACCAGCGACTTATGGCGGGACTGCGGGACTGCGGCAGACATTCTGACATTGGGGGGTACTGACTTGGGGTCACTGACATCCCCAAAAACACTAATACAGTGATCAGTGCAAAAAGAAAAACACTGACACTGTACTAATGGCACTGGGGAGGAAGGGGTTAACTTTATTTTGCAGGGAAGGGTTATCTGAGTGTTTTACTAGGGGGCGGGGGTGTGTGCTGGACGGGACAAGGCTGATCGAGAGAGAGAAACTCTTCTGTCTCGATCAGCTTGTCCTCAAGCTGACAAGGAAGTGACAGACAGCACAGCTACTGCAGCTGTGCTCTCTGTCACTGTGTACCGCCGATCGCCAGGAAACAGCCACTAAGGAGCGGCTGTGACACGGCGACTGACATCCGCAGTGGTGATCGGCAGGACAGATAGGGCAGCGGCGCGCCTCGCACGCGCCCCCTATCTGTTTACAAAACACACGTTTTAAAACGTGGTTTTGCCTGCCAGTGCCGCCCTGCCGCCGTAGTTCTACAGTGGCAGGGCGGCAAGTTGTTAAGGGTGCACCTATGGCAAAAGAATCAAACAGCATTATGGGGTTGTTAAAGAAAGAGCACAGAAGCAGCTGTTTGCCTTCAGACGCTCTGTCTCTGATTGAAACGTGACAAAAAGCTCTCTGTGCAGTGGGAGGGGGAGGAGTCATTCCTCTGGTCATTCAGTTGTGTAAGTTTCATGTCACACTAGCGACCCTCTCGTTAGTGCAAAGTCACCAGTGAAAGGTAGCTAGTAAATGTGTCACTCACTTGCTGACAACTTTTTTGGGATTGCCGCCTCGCTACTCAACAGATAGTCCCACACTCCTCCAGCCAGCATGGGAGGGCTATATGCAATCAGGAAAGTTTTTATCAGGCTGAATTCTCACTGACTTGTGATAAAAATGCAGGGAAAATGCATGTACATTGCCATCCATTTTATATGCGTTTTAAGGCACATTGACTTGTGCTAAGGCATGTTTTGACCAGGGGCGGACTGACCATTCGAACACTTGGGCACTGCCCAAGGGCCTGGGGTCAGTAGGGGGCCCCATGAGATGCCCCTGGTACCTTTCATATGCTTTTTTAGGTGTGGTTTGAGTGTGGGCATGGACACAGGGGCCCCATGATCCCCTATTGCCCAGGGGCCCCATGAGTTGTCAGTCCGCCCCTGGTTTTGACGTGCAATGATACTCATTAAAATGCACTGCGTTCCTGTGACATCACATCCTGTGGGTTAGAGGAGACAAAATAAATCACAAAGCAAACTTTTTTTTAATTGCATTGCATTGCGTTGACCTTTGTTTTACACACATTACCTGCATGGCTTTAAAACGCATACATGTTGCATTTTATTGCAACGCACATCATGGCAGCATTGTAGTGTGAACAGAACACAATTGTTTTGTTTTTTTTAGGTGTCACTGCATTGACCAAATAGGACATAAGGCACTTTGCATTGTACATGTGTGGGGACTGTGCTGGGTATGCCACCCATCGCAGCCCAAAGCATCTGGTGTGAATAGGCTCAGGGGCGGACTGCCCATTTGGAAGCTCAGGCACTGCCGAGGGCCCGGGGTCAATAGGGGGCCCCATGAGATGCCCCTGGTACCTTTTTCACAGGCTTTTTTGAGTTTGAGCAAGGACACAGGGGCCCCATGATCCCCTATTGTCCGGGGGCCCCATGAGTTGTCAGTCCACCCCTGCTAGGCCCTTAGACAAATGAAGGTACAGCTCAACATTTCATGTTTCTATAGAC